GGAGTCAATCCAGGGTGAGCATGAGCAACGCAGAGCACACTGGGGAAAAAGGGGTGAAGTCCCCGCCATATTGAGCACAGGCAAACAGCAACTGAGGAAGACTGCGGGCGGGAGGCAGATGGTGCCCACATTTCAAATATGGAAAGGAAAAGCCTATTAAGAATCCATGTCTTTGTAAGTCACCCCCTCCTAAAGGTCATATAAACTATATAAAACCCATCTTATGTCAGTTTGTCAATCTGCATCAGGACCAGGAGACTCTAGAGTCCTTGGAAGAAGTGCACAGGTCCCCCAGGGAGAAAAAATGGAAAAGTTTGGCAAAACAAGGCCAGTAGCATTTTACTTATGACCAAAAATTTAGATTTCTTGACCATGGTTATTGGCCTTGCTAAAGAGCCTGTAACTGCCAGATTCAATTAATGCAATACTTCAGACTGGTTATCTGGATCCCATTTTCCTTTACAACTTTTTGTTCAATGGTTTTATACCACAGCTCCTTTGTCTAAGCAAACCAACATTCTGTGCTTATTACAACGTCTATACCTTTCTCATACCAGTTCTCCAATACTCAGATAATCCTACCCCTCTATTCTACTCAAATTTTACCTTTCTTCTAGAAAGTTTCTTTTTCTTCTCCTTGAATTCCTTAGATGTTATATGTTTCATCCTTACAGAAGAATCCTTCTGCTGATCAATTAGTAATATTCTGTCTTCTACTTCCCTATCTTCTGAGACAGGGGATTCAGTATTTAACAAGGAAATCTCTTCTATAACAAAATATCTCTACCAAGGGAATTCTTTTTTAACTTTAATTATTTTTTAACTTTTTAATTATTGAAGGCTGGGCATAATGGTGCACGCCTTTAATCCTAGCACTTGGGAGGCAGATGCAGGTAGATTTCTGTGAGTTCAAGGCCAGCCTGGTCTACATAGTGAGTTCCAGGCCAACTAGGGCTACAGGGAGACCCTGTCTCAAAAAGACCCAAAAAATAAGTAAATAAATAAATAAATAAATATATATATAGAGAGAGAGAGAGAGGAGAGAGAGAGATTTGTTCTTTAACAATTTCAAATATGTATAAAGTGTATTATGATGACTATAACCCCCACCCTCTCTAATATCCTCCCATCCCATTAAGCCCCCTCTCCTCCCTACAAGTCCCTTTCTCACATTGATGTCTTTTATTTTTATTGTTTGGTTGGGTGGTTGGTTGGCTGTTTTGAGACCCACTGAGTTTAACCAAGGTCATGAGTATATCCATGGGTTTGTGGGTTTTTTAATATTTTTATTGATTTGAGAATTTCATACAATGTTGTTTTTTTTTTTTTGTCTTTTTTGAGACAGGGTCTCCTTGTAGCCCCAGCTGTCCTGGAACTCACTATGTAGACCAGGCTGGCCTTGAACTCACAGAGATCCACTGCCTCTGCTTCCTGAGTGCTGGGATTTAAAGTGTGCGCCACCACGCCCGGCATACAATGTATTTTGATCATATTCAGACCCCCCCTCCCCCTTTCAACCCCCTCCTTACTACCTCCACTTCACATCCTTGATTATTTTTTGTCTTTTTTTTCTTCAAAGGCCTACCAAATCTGATCTGTGTTTCCAAAATGTTCTTTGGTGTGGGTCTATCCCTTGGAGTCTGGTCAACCCAACCAGACACACCAGTGAAGGAAAACTGACTCTCCCTCTCCCAGCAACTATAATTGCCAACAGATTCTCAGCTAGGGCTGGGGTTTCCTACCTACGTCCCCCATCCATGCTGGTTTTTGTCTGTCTTAGGCCTGCCAAGGTTGTGTGCATACTGTCACAAGCACTATGTGTTCATATGTGCAACTACCCTGTGGTGTCCAGACAATAGTTTCCTTGTATTCATTCACCACCTTTCGCTCTTACAATCTTTCTGCCCCCCTCTTCAAAAATGATCCCTGAGCCTTGGGAGGAGAGGGTGTGATATAAGTGTCCCATTTAGGGTTGAGTCCTTTCTCTGCACATTGACCAGCTGTACATCTCTGTGTTAATCACTATCTGCTGTCTTTATTCTAAAACAATATACCTAGTTTTTAGTGTCCCCACATTGGTCCTGGTCTGCACTTAGGATAAAGGAAACAATATAGCAATACTTAAGAGCATAGACTTTGAAACAAGATCTGAGTTCGAATCCAGTGTGTATAGTTACACAGAATGTTAATTTCCAGGGCTGCAGTCCCTGCTAATAAAACCAACCTCAAAAGGCTATTAAAAAAATTCAATGAGGGTTAGAGAGACGGCTCAGCAGTTAAGAGCACATATTGCTCTTTCAGAGGACCTAAGTTCAATTCCAGAAACCACATTAGGCAGTACACAACCACCTGTAACTCCAGCTCCTGGGGGGAATCCAATGCCTCTCTCTGGCTTTAGTAGGCACCTGCACTCATGTGCATGCACGCATGTGCATGCGCACACCCACGCATACACACACAATTAAACTGAGCCAAGTATGGTGGCACATGCCCTTAACCCCAGCACTGCAGGGGGTAGGGGCAGAGGCAGGTGGATCTCTGTGAATTTGAAGCCAGCCTGGTCTAAACAGCAAGTTCCAGGCCACTGAGGTTGCAGGGAGACCCTGTCTCAAAAAACCAAAAAAGAAAGAAAAAAGTAGGAAAGTAAAATTTTTTGAAGAAAACTAAATGAGTAACTAGGCAAAGTGATTTAAACTGTCTGACCTAGAGAAAGATCTCATCAGACAATGGCTAGTTCTATTGTTTAGATTTGTTTGTTTGTTTGTTTAAGATAGGGCCTAATATAGCCCAGGCTAAACTTGATTTAAACTCCTGATTCTCCTGCCCCCACCTCTGGAGTGCTGGGATTATAGGAATGTGCCACCATACTTGGCCAATTTGTCACTTTTTTTTTTTTAATGTGTATGGGTGTATTGCCTGCATGTAGGTAAGTATACCCCCTGTCCGCAATGCCCTCAGAGGTCAGAAGAGGCTGTCAGATCCCCTGGGACTGGAGTTACGGACAGTTGTTAGCTGCCATGTGGATGCTGGGATTCGAACCCAGGTCTTCTGGAAGAACAACCAGTTTTCTTAACCACTGAGCCATCTCTCCAGCCCCTAGTTTGTCACTTTTTATAATCTAATTTTTCAGCCCCTTATATATTTGAAGATAAACATATTACTTATGTGTCAAGCTTTTGATATGATGTGTACCCTAAAGAATTATATGTTGAAGGCTCGGTCCCAGTTCAGTCATTGAGAGATGATTAGATCAAAGGCTCTGACCTATCAATGGATTAATCCTCTGATAGTTTAATAACATGATGGTATTATTAAGAGGTAGAGCCTAGATGCAAGAAACAGATCAGAGTGTGGGAGCATACCATAAGAAGATATGGCTTGTCCTAAGAGCCTTCTTCTCTGTTCGCTCTGCTTTTTGGGCTGCCATGAGTTGAACAGCTCTGCTCAATTATGTGCTCCCTGCAATGATTATTCTATCTGACCACAAGCACAGAAACAACAGCAGTAACTGACCAGGAACCAAAAGCTCTAAAACAGTGGGCTATAATAAAACCTTCCTTTCTTAAGATGGTTTTCTCAAATTATTTCACTGCAACATCCAAAGCTGACTTATACATTGAGTCTTCTCCTCTCTAGACTCAAGTTTCTTCACTTGACTATAAAATAGTGAGGAATAATCTATCTCTTAATCTGTCTCACTTACTGTCCTATCTCCATGCCTAGAACAGAGAAGGGTACACACAGAACACACATTTCATGTTGATGGCTATGTTAGATGCCGTGACTGAAGTGCACGAACTCCACATCATTCTCGTCATGCCTCTCTCAACAGTCTCTGACTGTTCTAGATTTTCCTGATGATGTAACATCCAAAACCGGACATAAAACTCAAAGGTGGGGCTGGGTACGGTGGTGAACGCCTTTAATCCCAGCACTATGGAGGCAGAGGTAGGCGGATCTCTGTGAGTTCAAGGCAAGCCTGGCCTACAGAGTGAGTTCTAGGCCAGCTGGGGCTACAGGGAGACCCTGTCTAAAAAAGACAAAAAAACAAAAACAAAAACAAAACCCTCAAAGGTGGATTATTCAGCAAGGAGGAAAGACTAGGCTTCTCTTTTATAACATGTGCCACACCACTACTGAATATTTAGCTTCACCAAACTGCTGGTTCATATTAAGCTTGAAATGAAGAAACCTTTAAATCTTTTCATGATGATCTTGTACTCTGGGCTCTGTTGATTTAGAGCTATTTTTATTTTTTATTATTTTTATTTTATGTGTATGAGTGTATTGCTTGCATGTAGGTAGGTGCACCTGTGTTGAGCAGTGCCCTCTGAGGTCAGAAGAGGGTGTTGGATCCCCTGGAAGTGGAGTTACTGATGGTTGTTAGCCACCATTGTAGGAGCTGGGAATTGAACCCAGGATCTCTGGAAGAGCAGCCAGTGCTTTTTAATCACTGAGCCATCTCTCCAGCTCAAGATTTAGATCTGTGATAATGCCAAAAGGTAAAACAATAAGAGAGCTTTTTTCCAGTTAGAGATTTCTCTGGTTCTTATTATCTGGACTACTCAAATGGCCCCCAGAAACTGCATCTTGGAAGTTAGAATGACCATTCTAAGATTTGCTTCTTCCTCCCAAATGAGTATAAGATCCCAGAAGGTAGAATTTGACTGTTTTGCCTTCTCTCCTACAAGCCATCAGGACTAAGTACAGATTAATGCCCTCTGTCTACAGCAGGATTATGTTAAAGACACAGGAAAACGGTACAGACCATTTCAGGAATCCCTTTCCATTCCAAATATTCCAGTGTTATGTTACTTATCAGTGGGCAAGGGGAGTCCATTCAAGCATAGGCACAGGAATAAAGCCTGCACTCTGCCAGGCTGGCTAGTACCACCTTGCCTGATGGGAATGAGTTCCTAGAGAACAAGCTAGCAGAGAACATCTCTCCACAGGGAACTCTCTAGGAAGCTTTCAGGGCATAGCAGAGTGAAAAAGCTTACCTCATCACTTTCTTCTACATCCACATCACCATTGGCATCATCATCCATCAGTTTGTGGATGTTGCGGACTGCCTCAAAGCTGAGCTTCTCATCCTCACTATGGCACAGGGGTTTGTCAATACGGCAAAACTCTGCACAGGAAAAGCAAGAGACAACATTACTCAGAGCTACCACTTAGCCTCCACCACCCATTGTTTCAGCAATCTTAGCTTCCAGCCTCTGATTCCTCACAGAGGCACTTCACCAACTATGTATACCTGTATCCTGGAAAATATGTTAAGCCTGCCCATGCCCAAACAAGAACAATGCCTTAGCATTCTAATACCTCTCTGGCAGTTAAGTCTAGCATAAGACCAGACAATAACATAAAGAGGTAACTCACAAATGAGAGTGAAAAAACAAATGGACAATAGACACAGGAAAAAAGTTGAGACTCACCAACAATCAAGGAAACATACATTTGACTTTTAATTAGCCAAATAAACAAATGCAAATTAATATATTTCAAGAACTAGAACAATCATTAGTTCTAAGGCATAATTTAGGTATAGTGGTATAGTTTTCTGTTTGGTTTACTTTGTCACTACAGATACATATCATGTCAACCATAGACTAACTAGGGAAACTGCTCATATCTTACACCTTCCCACAGACAGCTACATTCAGCAAGTATCTATTAAATGTCTAAAGGTCCAGAGATCACCTTCTACAACAGCTTGGTAGGTCTGGGATATAGTTTTCTCTGCCTGCTATCACATTGCCATAGAGCAGCAAAAGCAGCACAAGAACCTAGGCCACCTCAGCTCTTTGCATACCTAATCCTTTCTTATAAACCTAGAAGGCACCTAGCCTGACAGACACACAACAGAAACAGCCTGAAATCTCTCTCAGTGTGGCTCTACCATATGACTGGGGGAAGAGGGGGTTACTTCTCCAGGCCTCATAAATTGAGAAAGGCATTTTGAAACTAAAGTTTCCAGTATACTTCTTCCAATTCCTATATGCTGAAAAGTCCTCTTTCTTTTTTACCTGGATCTTGACAACTACTTCCTAGGGAAAACACTCTACATCACCCCTACAGATGAAAGTTGTCAGGTATGGTTGGCACATGCCTTTAATCCTAGCACATGGGAAGCAAAGGCAGACAGATCTATATTCATAGCCAGCCTGGTCTACACAGTTCTAGGCCAACCAGGGCTACAGAGTGAGACCCTGTCTTGAAAAATAATAATGATGATGATGGTGGTGGTGGTGGTGGTGGTGGTGGTGGTGGTGAAAGAGCTGGTGGAGGGGCATACACCTGCAATCTCAGCACTCAGGAGGCTCAGACAGGAAAATAAGAGCTTAAAGTCAGCCTGGGCTACATAAAACATTGTCAAAGAAAGAAAAAAAAGAAGGAAAGGAGGGAAGAAGAGAACTTTGACTTCCCAAGTAAGAGAAGCTGTCAGAGGAAAGCAAGGACAGGGTAAAGACCTGGTGGTTGTGAAGCCTTTTGGAAATATCTATCAAAGGGCTAAAATACCCTAATCCATTTCATTATTTACTTGTTTTCATGCCAGAGACAGTGGCAGAACAGGACAGGTCACCTCTTTATCTCCTGCCAGTTGTCCAAATCCTTTTCACAGTAAGAGAAGGGCAAAAATATTAAGTTTTAAGTGTTAAAGTTGTGATCAATGGAAGTATGCCGAATACTGAAGATTGGAGATGTCAAAGGATGTGCCCAACATCAAAGGCACCTGAAAGTCCAGGTCTGCTGACTCCTGTGCCAACACTTCACCTTTTTTTTTTAAAGGTGGCCAGATAGCGTTGAGTTGTTTTCACCTTTTGGAAGCCAAAGATGAAAATGCTGATAATGCAAAAGCAATGCAGGTGTGGTGGCTCACACTTGTAATCCCCACACCTGTAAACTCAGAGTAGGAAGGTGAACCAAGAGGATCACACATTGAAGAACTGACGAAATATGGTGAGACCCTGTCTCACAAAAGGCCAGCATAGTGACACACACTTGCAGTTCCAGCCCAGTACCTGGGTAGAAGCAGGAAGATCTGAAGTTCAAAGTCATCCTCGGCTACACAGTGAGTGGGAAGTCAACAGGGACTAAGTAAGTTCATGTCTCAAAAAATAAAAAAGAGTTCAAGGTCAGGTTTAGCTATGTGAATGGGGTGGGGAGGAACTTGTCTCAAAACAAAACAGCAAAACAATAACAAAACTCCACACAGCAGTCATAATTTTATAAAAGAAAAAAGCTATTTGTTTTTGTTTGTTTGTTTTTATTTTTGGCTACAATACTTGTCATTATAACATAAAAAGCAACCATAGACAACACAAGTAAATGAGTTTGTGTTCTGGTTTTGGTTTGGTTTGGTTTGGTTTATTTGGTTGTTCTGTTTTGTTTTTTGTTTTGTTTGAAACAGAGATTGAAGTAGTACAGTCTGACCTCGAACCCATTATGTAGCTGTTAACTTTAAATTCTTTTTTTAAATATTTTATTTATGATTTTTATGTGTATGTATGTATTGCCTGCATGTAGGTAAGTGCACCTGTGTCCTGCAATGTCCGTGGAGGACAGAAGAGGCTGTCGGATCCCCTGGAACTGGAGTTATAGACAGTTGTTAGTTGCCATGTAGGTGCTGGGATTCAAACCTGGGTCTTCTGCAAGAATATTCAGTGTCCTTAACCGCTGAGCCATCTCTCCAGCCCCTAAATTCTTTTTTTTTAAAAGATTATTTTATGAGTTTATTTGTTTGCGTGTGTGTGTGTGTGTGTGTGTGTGTGTGATGTCAGTGCCTAGTGCCCATGGAAACCGGAAGAGGGTATCAGATACCCTGGAACTAGAGTTACAGGCATTTGAAGGCCACCATGTAGGTACCGGGAATCCCACCCAATCCTCTGGATGAGCAGTAAGTGCTTTTAAATAATAAGCCATCTTTCCAGCCTTGACCCTGAACTTTTCTTTTTCTTGATCTTTATGAGACAGGATCTGCCTGCAGCCCCAGCTGGCCTGGCACTCACTCAGTAGATCTGGCTGGCCTTGATCTCACAGAGATCTACCTGCCTCTGCCAACTAAAAGCCCAGGTCACCATGCCCAACTTGACCTGGAACTTTTGATCCTCTTGCCCCTACCTCCCAAGTGCTAAAATTACAGGCACATGCAACATCACTTAGCTAAATTTTACCACACTCAGCTAAGTTTGTGTTCTAATAAACCTTATTTACAAAAGCAGACACCAGGGTTGTTATACAAGGTACTGTGAATGATAGCTGGGTGCTCAGCCCAAAACAAGACATTCATACCATCCCCTCTAAAGCTCAGGGAACACTGCAGAAGAAGAGGGAAGATTGTAACAGCAAAAAAGACAGGGATAAGACCTGTGGAACACTATCTTATAGGCAATCCACAGTTACTGTAATTATGAACTCTCAACTATGATGACGGCACTAGGCCTGCACAAGAATGGATCCATCAACAGCCAGGCAAGGATGGAGAAGGATATGAAGGGGCCCTGCCCCTCACTGCTGAATTATTTCCTATGGATAGATTCAAGGAAAGGGGGAGGTATTGCCTTCCACTGTGTACCCACTAGAGACCCCACCATGCCCCAATAGTTAGTCGAAATCCAATAGTCACACAGATGGCCCTGACTAAACTAAATGGGTCACAAAACAAAACCAAAAGTCATGAATCTGGCAAAGGGACAATAGGGAGAAGGGGACATTAGCAGGCGAAGAAGGATGATAACAGAAGATGGCAAAAGAAAGTAACCAGAAAGCATTATATACATGTTTCAAATTGCCGAAGAACTAAGTTTTTTTAAAAAGCCAGAAATAAAAAGCAATCAAATACACATGTATATGAAATCAGTAAGATCTCAAATAAATAATTTAATGATACATTTTAGGTCCTTGGAAAAACAAGAACAAACCAAACTCAAGATCAGTAAATGAAAAAAAAAATACTAGGGAAGAAATAAATGAAATAAAAACAAATAAATTAAACAAAGACTCAATGAAATATGGTTCCTTGAAAAGGTGTACAAGACTGATAAACCTTCAGGTATATTAACCAAGTGGAGAAAAGAGACAAAAATTAATAAAATTAGAGACAAACAGGGAGCCATTAAGATAAATACAAATGAAATTCAGAAATCATCAAGACATACTTTAAATACATATATTCAAATAAAATGAGAAAAAGCAATTGAATCAGTTTATAAAAGCATATAACCTACTGTGGTGGTTGAATGAGAATGTTCCTCCATAGGCTCCAAGTATTTGGACATTTTGTCCCCAGTTGGTGAGCTGGTGGTGCTGTTTGGGGAGGCTTTAAGAGGTGTGGCCTTGCTGAAGGAAGCACGTCACTGGAGGTGGGCCTTGAGAGTTCTTAAGCCTTACTAGATTTCCAGTCCCTCTCTGCTTCCTGTGCCTGCTAGAGATGTGAGCCCCTGCTTTCTGTTCCGCCTCTGGCCACCTTTTGCCACCACCACCATGCCTCCCTGCCATGATGGACTTTGATTCCTCTAGAACCATAAGCTCAAATACTCTTCCTTCTATAAGTTCCCTTGGTCACAGTGTTTTATCACAGCAACAGGAAAGTAACTAAGACAGAAGTTGGTACCAGGATCATGGGGTATTGTTGTGACAGACCTGACCATGTGGGTTTTTGGAGGAATATGGAAGACTTTGGAAGTATGAAATAGAACAGCTGTTGATTGCTATAAGCAGAGCTTAATGGGCCATTCTGGATGAAAGTAGTACTGAGAAGTGTAGTTCCAGAGGGAAAAAAGGGCTTAAGCAGCAACTGGGATACTTTGGCAAAGAATCTGGCTGCTGACTGCCCTCAGCCTAAGAGCTTGCCTGAGGCTAAGTTGAAAAGAAATGGACTAATTTCTTTAGTGGAGGAAATTTCAAAACAGCCTTTCCAGCCCCTCTTTGCTTTCTGTGCCTGCTTGAAGATATGAGCCTCTGCTTTCTGCTCCTCCTCTGGCCACCTCTTGCTGCCATCACCACACCTCCCTGCCCTGATGGACTCTGATTCCTCTGGAGCCATACGCTCAAATAACTCTTCCTTCTATAAGTTTCTTTGGTCATGGTGTTTTATCACAGCAACAGAAAAGACAGACACCTACCAAA